TGACTCTAAAGTCTACTCCTACTAAGGGGGGAGGGGTCACTAGTAAGTGTGCTTATCACCTTGACTCTAAAGTCTACTCCTACTAAGGGGGGAGGTATCACTGTTAACTGTGACCCATAAAATTGACCCATCTATATTATCTGGGAAACCTCACATTGCTGAAATATCTGTCGCAATGTGATCATTTCATTAACTCAGTGATCACATGCTCTCGGCACAACTGGTTTGAATGAAATTGGATTCCATTTACATCAAAGCATGCCCAGACACTAAAATCAATAAAAACATAAAATTGAGAGAAAAAATGAATAAACGATGCTTTTCTGAATGTAATTTAATTAGGAGCATAAATTATTGATATATATATTTTACATTCAATGACCAGGTGTTTGTCAAATTCTTAACTGTATTGCATAATTATTTCACACAGTCACATTGCTTCAAGAGTCTTGATGTGAGGTAACATCAAAATATTTTTTTCCGTTTCCACAATAAAATAGTGGAATACTTAGAATCATTCTTTAATAGATAATTACTGAGGCACGCAGCATTCGTAGGTATAATGCAGGCAGCTGCCTGCATTATACCTACGAATGCTGCGTGCCAAAGTGATTATCTAGTATAATTATTGTTCTTATCAAAATCCAATTGTTTTCTTTCTAGCTTGTTTATCATAGAAACAAAGCCAATAATGAATGAACTAAATATGTCTGATTTTCCTCTATGCATTCATTGGGATAATGCAGACTGAAAACAATGGATTTTGATAAGATCAGTAATTATAGTAGCTGAGTACTGGCAGAAATGATTTACGATGGTTGTTTTGTTAGTGCTTGCTCAGCTTCTAGATTAATATACCCCCAATGCATTCTTGCATTACTGATGACGAAGGTGTGCAAATATTATTCCTCTTTTCACACATGACTCTACACATGAAGTATTCTATTACTGTGAGCTTTTGGTTTGCTGTTCTTCCAGGAACTGTTTTAGTGTTGCAGCATCCAGTGGAATAATCAGGTGTTCCACTCCATCAGCTCCCTAAGAATTACAGTTAGCAGCTGTCAGTTTGTAATTTTAATAACCAAAGGATAATTTTTGTTTCAAACTTTAAGATCAATTAGATTTCTCTTGTAATGAACAAGGAGCTTGCGAGTTGGAATGGAGAGAAATATATTCCTATGTGAGTGAGAGATGTGTCAGCTGATTATAAAGTACATGATGAACTACCCTTTTTTATTACCTTCTTGGAACGGATCAGTTTATGGTCCCTAAACTCAGTAAGCTGTGCACGCAAAGTCTGTTCACTGTTTACCAGGAATTTCTCCCTGCACTTGTTGTATAGATCATAGATATTATAACCTGGAAAAAGAAAGAGAGAAAAGTTATTCATCATACAGCATACAGTTTAAGGGAATGACACCTGGTCTGCAATCGGAAAATATGCCTAAACTAAATGGTTAAAGAACTGTTGTGACATCTCTTCCTGACACCCTTGACTCTCCCAGCATTGGTTATTGCAGGGATCCCAAGGGGGTTGGGGAAGGGGGTCTATACCCCTTCTAATAATTTTGCTGCCATATAAGTACTTGTTTCCTATTTAAAATATCAATAGCAAATGCAATAAGTATGCTGTTCATGACCCTCAAAACACTAGAAATTGCACTTAGAAGCTTAAAAGGGTCTGCCTGTTCTTGCCTTCAATGGTTGTTTGCCCACTCCCCATTTCAAAATTATGCTCCACACTCCCTGTATTAGATTCATTGCTAGTCCTTGCATGGCTAAATTAACATTATATAGGTGGGCTATAAATAATGGCTGGTCAACAGATGATGCCTTGCCAAAATTGGCACCAGCTGTTCTCCTGACTGGTCACATTGACAGTGATACAAGCTGATCACTCCAATGTGACCATTTTGTCCAGCTATTATCTTAACCCTGACATACTAGCAATCAAATGTACAGCTCAACAATGGCCAATATATGGTCAGTCTACTAGCAGTCTACACAATAATTACCAATATATGAAGAGTTGTCCTTTTCCTGCAGCTGATGATTGACAATCAATAAGAATATCCCCTGCCCATTGGTTGTCAAACTTCTCATTACATGGTTCATGGAGCTCAAAGCCAGTGCACCAGATTGCTGTACCAGTAATGAGTTTTCATATGAAGTCTCTTCTGCGTAAGGCTCAAATGTGGTGACATCATACCATAGGAACTTGAATCTACTGCACATACACTGGTCCCATACTGTCATATAAAATTGTTAGCCTCAACAAGCATCTTGATCTTTTATAACCACAATAAATATCAGTGAAAATAAGCATGCTAATAAAAAACGCTGGTTCTCTGATTTTTCTACGGTTGTTGTGCTTTTATTAGCATTGTTTATTAGCGTGCTTATTTTCACTTATTTATTTTCATGTGTATACAGTATGTATATGTACAATATATATCTCTGTAAAAACGTTTTCATCCTTCAATCCCCTCATCCGTCCCCTAGGGATATCAAACTAGCTACTATTCCTTGCTTGGCAAAATTAACCAAGGCAAACACCAAATACTGGCCAAGGGAAATAAAGGAACCAACTGCTCTTAGTCCTACACTTACTGTGATTTTCTATATTTTGCAAAGTCTATAGTTATAAGCTGCACACTGAAATTTGGATTTTGTCTGTCTTCAGTCCAAAATAATCAGTCGGTACATTTTTTGTTCTTGACTGGCAGCAGTGAAAAAAAATTTCACAACAAGCCATTGAATAATGTCTGAGATTGCAGAATATCGAAAACCACTAAATTTGGTAAACACACCTTTTGCTGTTCATTAACAGAAAATGTACATTCATTTGTGCCAATAGTTGTATCAATAACGTGTAATGTACTTTCATCAACACCACATCATTAGCGCGGATCAACTTTCAATAACGATAATTGAATATGCGTGTTCATTCATGAACACCATATGGACAATCAATAGCGCGTTTGTACATTCATATGCGCGGAATGTATTTTCTTCTGCGCGAAATTAAACTTCAATAGCCCCAAATGACAAACAATTGCATTTATGGACAGTCATTTACCCAAAARTGAAAATTCATTAGTGCTATTAGCATAACCATTGACAATCTATAACACCTTTTACAATCATGAGCATCAATGTAGCATTCTTTATATAACGTGGTTCGACAAACATTTGCATGATTCAAATAAACATTAAGAGAAAAAAAGCAATCATTAGTGTTTTTCTTTAATAACATAATGTTAGTGAACAAAATCTCTCCGAGTCAAATGCTGCTCGAAAAACTGGCGTTGCAGTTAGTGCTCTATATTAAAGTCATCCTTCTATTGCTTCTCTATTAATACAACGTGGGATGTATGTTTGCATGAATCTAAACCATTGCCCACTGTTGGCTGCTGTTATTGTCCCTATGTTACGTTGCAATGCTTGCAGCAGTAGTTGTGTGCGGTAATGCCCTAACGCGATTCCTTGTCRCCTTGCTTCGGCTCTGTCGTTCATCTGGCGTTGAATGTCTGGACGGCTTATGTCTGCTTTCATCGACGCTTTTAATGCACTTATTGCCTGTTCCACTATGTTCAAAAAAGGGCTATAAGGAGGTAATTTCTTTAGCTCTGTATTAGGACCGGGGTTGGTTGGATTATGGTGAGCACGTGCTCCATCATATATGAAGATTACATTTTCGTCCGGGTCGAGGTTAAGCCTGGTTTGCGCCAAGAAAGCATCAAATCTTTGTGCATTCATTCCACCTAGTAATGAGGAGTGAAAAATCAAGCCAGTGGTGGGCGATATGGCGAGTGCGGCGGTTACATTTGGTCCTCTCTGACCACAAACCTGCCTATATGCTCGTTCTCCTCTCCTTGCTCTTCCTTGGCTTCTCGCAGTCCAAATGTTATATCCACATTCATCTATGAATATACAATGTTGCAGGATGGCGTGGCGCATGAACCACTCAGCATATTGGTAGCGTTTTTCTATAACATCAGGGCGGTTTCTCTCGGCTGGAAGGCGTCTAGCTAACTTTACTCGATATAACATTCCCTCTAGAGTCCTTGCAACTGTGCGGTCGTGAATTCTTGGCTTTGCTGGAAGGCGTTGTCTTAATTCTTGATTGATCTGCGCTAATGTTAACATACAATTTTGATTTAATATTTCATTGAGGCAGTCCTTCATCTGATCGTCAACTCGGACATTGTTTGCACCTCCGCGTGGTCTCTCTGCAATTCTTCCTTCACGGACATATCTGGCCACTATGCTCCTGACAGTCGATCTGTTGACTCCGATGGTGTCAGCAACCATGAGATAGTCCTCGTTCTCATCTTCGAATGCTCTTATGATTCTTTCCCGTTGCTCAAGAACAATTCTATTTCTTGGTGGCATATCGTACAAAAAATGAATGCTATCGCTACATGCAGGTCGACTATTGCGTTCAACGGCTTCTTTATATCCTTCAGAAATTAAGGTTGTTGTTTTTTCACAGTACACGTAAATCAGCTCTTGTTCTGTCTTAATTTTTTTTGTGAATTGTTACATTTTGGAGACAACTTTTTAAAAGAATGCTGAATAAAGAAAAACGCTAATGATTGCTTTTTTTCTCTTAATGTTTATTTCAATCATGCAAATGTTTGTCGAACCACGATAAAGAATGCTACATTGATGCTCATGATTGTCCAAACGCGTTACAGATTGTCAATGGTTATGCTAATAGCACTAATGAATTTTCACTTTTAGGTAAATGACTGTCAATTAACGCAACTGTTTGTCAATTCGTGTTATTGAAGTTTAATTGCRCGCACAAGAAAATACATTCCGCGCATATGAATGTACAAACGCGCTATTGATTGTCCATTGATGCCCATGGATGTACACGCATATTCAATTATCGTTATTGAAAGTTGATCCGCGCTAATGATGTTATTTGTGGTGTTGATGAAAGTACATTACACGTTATTGATACAACTATTGGCACAAATGAATGTACATTTTCTGTTAATGAACAGCAAAAGGTGTAAATAGTAAGTAAACTTTTAACTCTCAACACCTCACTGTTAGTCTCATCCATCTAATTTATTTGTCTTCTATATTTAAGATCTATAAGGCTCAGGTCAAACAACAAACTTCACATAAGCCGAACCTAATTGAAACAATGGATATTAAGATGGTCTTCTTTGAGGTCATTTGTTTTGGCTCATGTGTGAAGTTCGACGTTGGACATGAGTCTAAGTAAGCGCTCCCACTTAATAGGTCCTTGATTTAGGGTGACATGGTGCATTATAGTGAGCTTTTTAATCCTTCTAAAGGAGCGTTCTGTGCTCAAGCAAGATCTCTTTCTTCCTTACCTAGTGGAGCATTAATGTGGTCAATACTTGCAATGACATGTATGAATGGAATCTCTGCCAAAAGGCTGAGCACTGTCTGTGCCTGGGAATGAAAGATGTTAAATTAGTCAGGAAAGAAACAAGCAAGCAACAAAGCCAGCAATAAGTTTACCTTTTTTGAACGAAGCATTGTTCCATCGATATTGTGAATGATCAGATATAGTTCTCCTGGACCTAATTGTTAAATAAAAGCTATTTGTTATACCACCTTGTCTGCTCACTTTTCCTTTGTTTAGATAAAAGCACTTTATGTAGAAAGGAATCAAACTTTTTATTCCAATGATGCTTTGCATTGGGAAGCTTTATAGCCTAGTTTCAGGGAAACAACTTGTTCCAAGCAGGCTGTTCCTCTCAAAACCAGTCATTAAATTTTTATTTGTACAAAGAAAAAAAAAAGTTATAAAAATGTTATTCAAGAGTCAAGAAACACACTCCTGACCCCAGGCTTGAACTTCACAAAATGAGTGAGTGATAGCACTGTATTAAAAAACTCATTAATAATTCATGAAGGAAACACAATAGAAATCATGACCATGAAGGAGGTTTTATATCTGATATAGATTCGTCTTCATTTGCATAAACTTTAACTTGGATTTTCTCTATCAAACTTGGTTCATTTCGTAAAGAATTCGGTACAATATGAGAACATACATCAGGAGTTTCTTAAGCCGTTTAATAAACTCGCAGATCGTGTTTTATCGGGTCTAAAACCACTCGGCTGCGCCTCGTGTTTTATACCCGATAAAACACTCCTGCTCGTTTATTAAACAGTACTTAGTGCAAGCCAACTATTTCATCTGCAGGATATTTACAAATATTTGTAGAGGTCGTGCTTGGCTGCATAAGGTATTAGAAAACCTGTTCTGTCTGCCAAATTGTCCCCTCGAAAAACATGGTTGCCTATRTGTCTGTGTTATTGTGCCATGAGTGTGGTTTATTTTATCATATTTATACTCTAACAGCACTTTTTCAAAGCCAACAGAGTATGTCCTTAACATTATGCTGACCTTTTCCCTTTTTAAATGATTCTTGAATGAAGGAAGTTTGATCAATGACACTTTTAAATGCACCATTATGTTCTAGGACATCTTCAGTTATAGTATTCAATATCTGAAAAGTTGCAAACATATTTTAGGGCCAGTACAAAATTAGGTTTTCAGTGGGGGGGTTGATAAGTTGACAGTAGGGTGTTGATAGGTTGACAGTAGGGTGTTGATGGGTTGTCAGTAGGGTGCAGGTAGGTTGTCACTAGGGTGTTGATGGGTTTTCAGTAGGGTGAAAGTAAGTTGTCAGTAGGGTGAAAGTAAGCTGTCAGTAGGTGTTGGTAGGTTATCAGTAGGGTGCAGATAGATTGTCAGTAGGGTGTTGGTAGGTTGTCACTAGGGTGTTGGTAGATTGTCAGTAGGGTGTTGGTAGGTGGTCACTAGGGTGTGGGTGGGTTGTCAGTAGGGTGTTGGTAGGTGGTCACTAGGGTGTTGGTAGGTTGTCAGTAGGGTGTTGATAGGTGGTCAGTAGGGTGTGGGTGGGTTGTCAGTAGGGTGTTGGTAGGTTGTCASTAGGGTGTTGGTAGGTGGTCACTAGGGTGTGGGTGGGTTGTCAGTAGGGTGTTGGTAGGTTGTCAGTAGGGTGTTGGTAGGTTGTCAGTAGGGTGTTGGTAGGT